ACCGGACCTTGCGGAGAGGACAAGGCTGAGGATGAGTCTGTTGGAAGTTTGTGTCCTTTCCCCAATCCCTGTAATATGGGCTGGGTTTGGAGTCAGCTGGCATCGCCCTGGGGGGTGTTAAACTGGATTTGTTCCGATTTTGGTGCCTGTTTTCAGAGGAGGAGAGGCGCCGAAGCGATCGCCCACCCTGGGGCTGTGTCACGCCTGTTGCCGGAGCTGTGGTTTCCCAACGCTGGTCGCATGGTGCCAGGCTGCGGTCGGAGATCTCGGGCCATGTTTAGCCCAGTGTTAGGTTTAAAAAAACCATTCTGAGAACGCATGGCTCTCTAGGAAAGCGTGGGAGGCGATGGTGTTTGCCGGAGGCTCTGAGGAGCTCGTCGAGTCACGGGGTTTCTCCCTTGTCCTGGTCGTGGCAAGATGGGCTGGTAGGGACGGGTGCGAGCTGCTCTGCTCCGGAGGTTGCGATGAAGGATAGGAGGGAGGCAGGTGGGGCTTGGGAAAGCCAAGTCCTTAAAGCCTCGAGACCCTCCTAAAGTGTCCCAGAAGCTGCGATGAGCTTTGGGATGGGTTGGGGTCTGCAGCCCCGTATCCAGCTAAGCTGCGAAGCAAAAGCCTTTTGTGCACATAAACCAAAAAGAGAAGCTTTTACACTGAAACACTGACGGGCAAAGACAAGCCCACCCTTGGGAGCACAGGGAGGGGAAAGCGGGAGCCCACCCCGTTTTCTGCTGGTTGGTTTTGGTTGGGGGGACGGTGCGGGGGGAGCGCTTGTGTCCCTGGCATTTCTGTGTCTTGGATCCTTTCCAGAGTTACCGTGAATCATTCCCACGTGAAACATCCTGAGATCAGCGAGTTCATCTGCGGAGGCGATGAGGGAACAGCCTCACGCCACTGATCCTCCGAGGGATTGTCCCAGGAGGGGTCAGAGACCTGAGCGCTCCCACCCCGGGAGGGTCCTGGGCCTCTCCATTCTCCAGCTCTGTCACCCCTGTCCCCTCGGCTCCATGGTTGTCCCCAACACCCACCAGCCTGGCTGGGAGCTCCATCCATCCTCCGGAAAGCTGTGCGGATGGATCAACGGGGCTCATCCCAAGTCCCCCCCGCAAGCTGTGTTGCCCTGAGGAACCGTAGCTCCCCGAGGAGCCGGCTGCGTCGCGGTGGAGGCACCCGGTGATGGCAGGGGCTCCCGGCCAGCAGCACAGGGCTCTTTGCATGTGGGGGTGCAACCATGCACAATTTTGGGGGATCCCGTATGGAAACTGCCCGGATCCATTCCCGCTCCACGGCTGCAGCCCTTGGCAAGCTGCTCGCCTCGTGGCCTCACTTCCCCTCGGTGAACGTGGGGCGACACTTACCTACCTTAACCTTAGGAGGCTGAGAGACCTGATCACTGCCTACAGCTCCCTGAAAGGAGGTTGTGGAGAAGTGGGTGCTGGTCTCTTCTCCCTAATGACAGATGATCGGACGAGGGGGAATGGACTCAAGCTGCGCCAGGGGAGGTTTAGATTGGATGTAAGGAAGAAGTTCTTCACCGAAAGGGTTATCACACACTGGAACAGGCTGCCCAGGGAGGTGGTGGAGTCACCATCCCTGGATGTGTTTAAGAGACGGGTGGATGAGGTGCTGAGAGAGATGGTTTAGTGGTGGACAGATACGGTTGGACTGGATGATCTCTAAGGTCTTTTCCAACCCAGTGATTCTATGGTTCTATTCTATGATTCTACCTCGCCTGGGGCAGCCGTGAGGTTGAACTCGTGTTTGCCAAGTGCTTTGGGATCCTTGGGATGCAAGAGGGGAACGCGGAGGGGAGACGCTTCGCCGTGAGCTGTGCCGGCGGCATTTGCGGTGAGCGAGCGCGTCCGGGTCCTTGTGGGACACCCTGACACGAAATCCCTCTCCGAAAAGGAGTGTTTGGAGACCGGTCTTACTCGGATTTCTAAAAGGCAAAGTTTGGTTTGATTCTCCCCTTTCTCAAAGGATCCAGGTCTCTTAATGAACGAGTAATTAAGCAGAAGAAAGAAAAGGAGTTGAATTGCTGTCTAACCTTTCTGTTAAGTTAATAGTAGGTACTGACCTCCTGATATTTAAGTGTTTACTATCTATTTGCTCTAAAGTTTTGTATATTTTGTAAACTTTTCCCCCCAAATAGTAGATGTCTAAAATCGTTGTACATCGGGTTCTTTTATACTCCATTGTTCAGCACAAAGTGTGGTTTTTATTTAGAATAATAAAATGGAAAACGTTGACCTCTTGGGCCTCGTTTCTTCATAAAAAGTGT